AAGCGCTCTACCACTGAGCCACTTTCCCAGCCCCATAACTTCTCCTTTTCTAAATTAGAAGTTAAAACAAGGATGCTTATGGTTAAACTTCTTTTCTTTTGCCAGTCCTGGGGCTTGAATGCAGGGCCTGGATACTGTCCCTGAGCTGCTTTTGCTCAAGCCACAGCACCACTTCCAGCTTTTTCTGTTTATGTGGTACTGAGGAGTTGAACCCAGGGCTCCATGAATGCTAGGCAAGCACTCTACCACTAAGCCACATTAACAGCCCCCACAATTTTTTTTGAGGGGGAGATCAGTCGTAGGGCTTGAACTCTGGGCCTGGGAGCTGTTCCCGTGCTTTTCAGCTCAAGGCAAGTGCTCTACCACTTGAGTCACAGCACCACTTCTAGTTTTCTGTTGGTTAATTGGAAATCAGAATCTTACGGACTTTCCTGCCTGGGCTGGCTTTGGACCACGATCCTTAGATCTCAGCTTCCTGAATAGCTAGGATTACAGATGTGAACCAATTACACATTTTTAAACTTTTTAGTTGCAGGTTGGTAGCTCAAGCTGGAGAATCCTGCTGGCAGGCAGAGGCAGCTATAGGCTGAGCATCTTAGAAACAGGTGTGCCTTGCCCAGGTCCGTCTGGAAATACACCTGTCCCAAGAAGGTCTTGCTGCTTTAAGCAAAGTGATAAACATCATGTTTGGAATAGCATTGTCTCTGTCCTCACTCCTCCCGGTAGCTAAGGAGCACACATTCCTTGCAATGTTTGCTCAACTTGTTTAGTGTTGGCTGGTGAACTTGCTGAATGGTCAGACTCACAAAATAACATCCTTGAGTTGTCTGCACAGGATCGGGCAGATATTCAGCGAGGCTGCCTGAGGGGTTCCAGTGCTGATAGTTGTTGGAAAATGTTGACTGGTTGATTTTTTTTTTATCTCTATGCTTAGATTTTGCCAACAATTTCTGGGTACTGCTACTTTTTTTTGGTCGGTCATGGGGCTTGAACTCTGGGCCTGAGCCCTGTCCCTCAGCTCTTCAGCTCAAGGCTAGCACTCTACAACTTGAACCACAGAGCCTCTTCCAGTTTTCTGGTGGTTTATTGGAGATAAGAGTTTCATAGACTTTCGTGCCCAGGCTGGCTTTGAACCGAGATCCTCAGATCTCAGTCTCCTGAGTAGCTAGGATTATAGGGGTGAGCCACCGGTGCCTGGCTACTGCTGCCTTTTAAGCTTTCTAAAAACTGTAAACAACTTGAGCCAGCATCACAGAAGGAAGCTGTGGTTTTTGGTCTTCCTGCTCACTCATGTTTTTTTTTTCAATTGGGAGGGCTACATCTGACCGTATTTTTCAACAAGTTCAGAAGGGAATAGAAAATGCACGGCAACTGTCGACAGAGGGGGAGGAACCAGAATTCCTCCAAAGAAATTCTTCCTCAAACTGGGGGTCCAGTGGGATATTCGATGGAAAATGAGGTAGGTTCAAGTCCTGTGTGGAAAGAGCCATCTAGAACAATTGTATGGAGTTTGGTGGGTGACATTTATCTTGCTTCCAATTGCTTATTGTGCACTACACTGTCCGATTCCCTGACTTCTGCTCGGGATGATGGATAGGAGGTTCATTCACCTATTCTTTAGGCTGAGGACCAGTGATGGAGGCCAATGTGTTGGAGGGTACACTAGGCAGGCTGCCTTGCTGCAGGTGAGAAGCTGTCTCATCCAGCTGGTATAAACATCATCTCACTCATCCATCTTGATATAAGGGAAGAGAGGCTTTGGGTTTATGTCTTTCAGGAAAAAAAATATTTCCTGTGCAGTTGTAGCCAGTTGAGTTTTAAAATCTTAGTTGAAAAATAGTGCAAGGAAGATGACCCAAGAAATCAAGGGAAAGCCTGACATTGGTAGCTTATGCCTGTAATCTTAGCTACTCAGGATGCTGAGATCTTAGGATCACAGTCCAAAGCTAGTCTGGGCAGGAAAGTCTGTGGGACTCTTCAATTAACCAGCAAAAAGCCAGAAGTTGAGCTGTGACTCAAGTTGTAGAATGCTAGTCTTACGCATAAAAACGAAAAGACAGCACCCAGACTCTGAGTTACTAGGACCAGCACGTGGGGATGCATGCACGCAAAGAAAGAAATCAAGGAAGATACCAGAGCCAAGAACTCATTCCTAGGATTTTGTCCAAAGATCCATGACAATATGAGAGGTGCTCATTTTGTCATAAGGCCATCCCCAGGGTATCCTTCTGTGGGCATTAAGGCCTTTGTGATTTGTCACCAGAGCAAATAGGCAGCAGTGGGCAGAGATCTGGTTCCCCTCAAAACTCTACATAAGATGGAGACATACAAACTGTATGCTCTTTCTTTAGGCCTTTGTGGCACCCAGGAAAGGTTCTTATTCCATTGGTAGGTCCTGAGCATGAAAGTGCTGGTTGTCCTGGTCCAGAACCGCAGTAATTCTTAGTTCTACACTGGAAGTGGTGCAGCTGCACAGAAATGTGGATACGCTTTGTAATAGTTTTGCTATTGCAATTTCTAGGAAGACTCACCTGCCAGTTCATATTATTTGAGACAGTAAAAAAAGGGGAGTGGCTGGGCGCCGGTGGCTCATGCCTGTAGTCCTAGCTACTCAGGAGGCTGAGATCATGGTTCAAAGCCAGCCCGGGCAGGAAAGCCCATGAGACTCTTTCTCCAATAAACCACCAGAAAACAGAGGCGCTATGGCTCATGTGGTAGAGCTCTCGCCTT